GTCTGGGAACACTTTGGTTGGATCACTGTCTGAAAGTTTCCACTAGAAGGTTCGTCTATTTCCTGTAGGCTTGCCAAGCAAGGCTTTGAATGGGTCACTTTACTTCTCCGAGATTGTTTCTCATCTCTAATATTGGGCCATGGGTGAGTTCTTTTAATATATATTACTGATTATGGTATTACAGTTGTCCCATTTCCCCCCTTTAGTGTATATCCATGGGTCATATCCATGTAAGTTCTTTGGCTTCTACATTTCCTATACTATTCTTACCCTCCCCCTGTCTATTTTCTACCTACCATTTATGCTATTTATTCTCTGTACCTTTCTCTCGTCTCTCCCCCTCCCCTGTTGATGACCCTCCATGTAATCTCCATTTCTGTGATTCTGTTCCTGTTTTAGTTGTTTGCTTAGTTTTTTTTAAAAGTTTGGTTGTTAATAGCTGTGAGTTTGTTGTGATTTTAGTGTTTGTATTTTTGATCCTCTTTTTTTAGATAAGTCCCTTTAACATTTCATGTAATAAGGGCTAGGTAATGATGTACTCCTTTAACTTGACCTTATCTGGAGAGCACTTGATCTGTCCTTCCATTCTAAATGAAAGCTGTGCTGGATAGATCAATCTTAGATGTAGGTCCTTGCTTTTCATGACTTGGAATACTTCTTTCCAGCCCCTTTTTGCCTATAAGATCTCTTTTGAGAAATCAGCTGACAGTCTTATGGGCACTCCTTTGCAGGTAACTGTCTCCTCTTCTCTTAATGCTTTTAAGATTCTTTCCTTATCTTTAATCTTGGCTAATGTAATTGTGATGTGTCTTGCTGTGTTCCTCCTTGGGTCCAACTTCTTTGGGACTCTCTGAGCTTCCTGGACTTCCTGGAAGTTTTTTCTTTGCCAGATTGGGGAAGTTCTCCTTCATTATTTGTTCAAATAAGTTTTCAATTTCTTGCTCTTCCTCTTCTCCTTCTGGTACCCCTATGATTTGGATGTTGGAACATTTATAGATGTCCTGGAGGTTCCTAAGCCTCTCCTCATTTTTTTGTTTTTTGAATTCTTGTTTCTTCATTCTGTTCTGGTTGAATGTTTCTTTCTTCCTTCTGGTCCACTCCATTGATTTGAGTCCTGGTTTCCTTCCCATCACTGCTGGTTCCCTGTACATTTTCCTTTATTTCACTTAGCATAGCCTTCATTTTTTCATCTAATGTGCGACCATATTCAATCAATTCTGTGAGCATCCTGATTACCAGTGTTTTGAACTGTGCATCTGATAGGTTGGCTCTCTCTTCATCGCTTAGCTGTATTTTTTCTGGAGCTTTGATCTGTTCATTTGGGCCTTTTTTTTTTTTAATGTCTCAGTGCACCTTTTACGTAGCGAGGGGTAGAGCCTTAGATGTTCACCAGGGCGGGGCAACCCACGTTGCTGCGTTTTGACGCTGTGCTTTGGGGGGAGGGGTCTGAGAGGGAATAATGGCACTTGCTCCTCTCTCTGCTTGTTTTCAATCACTTCTCCTGCTTCCCACAGTCAAGTTGGGCCCCTCTGGTGCTAATTCTCAGGTGGGTAGGTTTGTGTATGTTCTAGGACCCTGTGGGACTGGGAGTTTCTCCTGCTGCCGCCTCCACCCCCACAGGTGTTTTCAATCAGAGTTTTGAGGCTTTATTTCACCAAGCTGGAACCCTGGGTTGTGTGGTTTGTCTCACTCCCCAGTTGTTCCTCCCAGTTTATCTGCGAGCAAAGGTGGGAATTCCCAGGTGGCAATCTGCTGCCTTGCTGGGTCCATCAGCCGCTGCCTTGCCGGGAGTCTGCTCTGCCAGGCTGCCCATCTCCACCCTTCCTACTGGTCTGGATGAATGTTTCTCCTTTAACTCCTTGGTTGTTGGAATTCTATACAGTTTGATTTTCTGTCAGTCTGGTTGTTTTTGTTTTTAAATTTGTTATCTTTTTTTTTTTTTTTTGTTGTGGGAGGAGGCAGTGTGTCTACCTATGCCTCCATCTTGGCCAGAAGTCCCATGGTTGAGTTTTGAACTAGATAATCCTTATATAAATCTTATGAGGCAGGTATTGTTATCACTACCATTTTACAGATGAGAAAACTGAGGCTTGGAGAGGCTAAACAACTTACCCCATATCACAAAACTGGGAAGTGGCTGAGTCTGAGTTTAACCTTATACATTATATGGTTATTTTTATGCTCTGGTTTCTCTTCAGATTGTGTAAATCTTTTGCTTTTTACATTATATGGTTATTTTATGGTCCTATGTCTTTTCCCAGAAACTGGCCAGCTTTCCCGGGATCTTGAAATATATATGTATGGAAGTGGACAGGGTGCCACAGGTCAGGATTTGCAATGGTGTGGACAACCTTCTACAGATATGCTTTCTAAAATCTCCACATGTGGAGCTGATGGGGGGTAGTCTCCTTTGGGTACTGTGGCTTGGGTAGTTGTGCTGGATTAATGAACAATTAGATCCATTTTCTGTGCTTGAGTTCCTCCTAGTCTGCCTGTAGCCAGGCACATAAACAGAAAGGTACAGTATAAAGGGAGGCCTGTTCTCTCAGAGGGGCTGAAGAGCCTGGGGAGCATCCAGGAAATCTGGGACAACTTTCTGTAAGAGGGGCCTCTTGAACTGAGACTTAGAGTTTTGTAATGAAGAAAGAGAAGGGAGGACCTTTACTGAAGGCAAAAGGACCAGCTTGGGCAAATGATGGGGAGAGTACAGCCTGAAGAGAACAGGGGAGGAGATGTGACTGAAAAGGACCCATGGTTGGGAGGAGGGTTAAGCTGGAGATGTCATTTAAATTTTAAGTTTTTGAAAGGCCCTTTGGCCGACAGAATGGAAATACACTAAAAGGGGAAATGGAAGGCAGGGAGGCCACTGAGGGAGTTGCTAAGATGGTTCAGATAAGACATAATGATGATTAATTTGAGGGACATTCAGGAGGCATAGGTGCTATGCGTAAACTGGATCATGGGAATAATGCAAAGATGAAGAGACATTGAAGATGTCACTTAGGTTTTTGGCTTAGCGATTAAGTAATGTTGTAAATGGACATAGGGTATTACAGAAGAAGTAGTAAATTTGGAGTATACGGAACATACCAGTGATTATTTACTGAGCACTTAGGAGATGCTGAGTACGATGCCAAGTACTTTATACACGTTAGGTGATTTAATACTCAGAACAACCCCAGAGAGTGGGTGCTATTATTGTCTTTTTATTTTTTGAAGATTTTATTTATTTATTTTTAGAGAGAGGGGAAGAAAGAGAGAGAGGGAGAGAAACATCAATGTGTGGCTGCCTCTCATGTGCCCCCTACTGGGGATATGGCTTGCAATCCAGGCATGTGTCCTGACTGGGAATCCAACCAGCGACCCTTTGGTTGGTAGGTCGGTGCTCAATCCACTGAGCCAGACCAGCCAGGGCTATTGTTGTCTTTTAAAAAACATAGATTCTCAGGCAGCAGAGCCAGGATTTGAACCCACATCTATCTGATTCCCAAGTCTTGAGCCCCACTCTTTTCTGCCTGATGGGACTGCTAGCCATCACTAGGGACTCAACTCAAGGGCAGGTTCCTCTGTGGAGCCTTCTCTAATCCTTTCTGGACTCCTCCTCTGTGCCACACGTGCATGCTTCTGTGGACACATTTCTCACACTGTATCGACATTTTGAAGACCAGTCTGCTTGCCTGTCAGTCATAGAATTGAGGGCAGGGATGGTCCCAGTCATTTTTTGCATCCCTGTGATGCCTAACGCATGTTAATTGGTTGACTGAATACTGGTTATTCTAGGTAATTCTGTTCTCTTCTCTTCTCTACCTACTCAGTTGGTGAACAAGTTCTGCTAATGACAGTTTCCTGCATATTTTAGACCATTCCTTTCTCTCCATTTCCACTGCCAGAGCTTAGCATTGAGCTCTTTGAGATGACAGAGAAAGGGTAATAATGCAGTTCAGGAGACTTCTACAGTGGTATTCCTAAAGCTTGAAAAATGAGCCAGAGGTACTTGGTAAAAAAGTGTGGGAAGGGCACTCCAGGTAGATGAAAAAGCATAAATAAAGGTACAGAGGTGTGAACAATTTGGTCTGCATGGAGGAATAGGAGGATTTAGTGTGTGTGACGAATGATAGATAAATATTCCTGGTTGAGACTAATTAATGGAATAAGAGTGGAAAGGCAGAGCTAGGTGAGACCATTATAGAACCTGAGCTTTGGCATTTTTTTTCTATATGCAATAAAATAGATGTCTAAAGAGGGAGCTTAGTGGACACAGAAGGAGGGAATACTTGTACCTGAAGGGTCAGGTAAAGCTTAGGTTTCACTATACTATTTCTATTGTTTGTAGACTAACAATAGTGCCATTTATTTCTCTTCTTGCTCTGTATCTGGTATAGCACTTTACATACTTTAATCTGATCTAACTCTCACAACATCCTGTGAAATAGGTGTTATTACCTTTACATATAAGAGGGAAAGGAGGCTAAAACAGATTAATACTGTTCCCAAGGTCACAGTTAGAGAGCTAGCCCAGATCCGAAGAGTTCTTAAGCACTAGACTATATTCTGCTACGGAGAGCTCCTTGCAGAGTTCATGCGTGTGAGAGTGAGTGTGAGTGTGTGTGTGTGTGTGTGTGTGTGTGTGTGCGCGCGCGCGCGCTCAGACCTAGGTCTTAGAAGACACCTAGTAAAAACATCAGTTGAATAAATGAATGGATGACCTTTTACTTCACTGAAAAGAACGTGATTACATCACTGGTAAACCTCCTAACCCCCAGGGGGCGTGTGTCCAACTCAGCGCAGCAGGAGTTTGTTGCTGAGGCCTAGCTTATTCCAGTCCGCCACTGGAGCTCAGCCAATCCCTGTGCTCGGATAGAGCGTTCGGTGGGCGGGGTCCCGGGCGAGGCCCCGTGGGCCACTGGGAAGGGCGACAAAGGTATTCCTGGCCAGCGGGCAGCGGGTGGGGGCTGACCGGAAGAGTGCGGCTGCGGCTCAGGTGAGCACGCGGTCTCAGCTGATAGTTCCTTTCTCCCGGGCGGGTGCCGTGGCCGCCCGTTGTCCCGGCTGCAGTGGCCGCCGTTGTCCTGGCGATGGCTGCTGGCTTTGACCTCTGAGTTACTGGCCTGACGGCTCCCACTCTTCCCGAGTCTGGGGGGTCGAGTCTGGCCGCCCAGACGGTCCTCTGCAGCCAGGGCTTCTAGGCCTCAGGCACATGGTTGAGGAAGGACACCGCCGACACGCCCATGACCGTGGTGGGATAGGGGCAGGGGACAGGGAGTCCAGCGGAGGGAGGTGAATAGACACTTGGACCCTAACCTCACTTGCGCTTGCGTCTCTGGACTGGGCTCGAGTGACGGTCAGTATTAACCTTCTGCCCTCTTAGGTCACCTCTGCCTTGGTTGGCAATTCTCAAATCTCAGACTGCGGATTTGAGTCTCACTGGGCCTCCGGGAAACCGAAACAGGGGCAGGTTTGCCGGCAGCCCAGTTGACCTTTACCGGGCATTCAGGCTCCCTTCAAGTTCGGCTGGAAGTAGGCGTCACAGTATTTACGAGACACTTTTGCGTTTTTAATATAACTACCCTGGAGATGACTTGTAAGAACATCGAGCTTCTTGTAATCAGCAAAGGCCCCTGCTGTGTCCCTGCTACCTTTTGAAGGCAGGTGGGTGGATGACTGCTGTGGTTTTACATTAGTGTGTTGCTTGAGCTGTCATTCTTTTCATTCAACACATTTTTTTTGGAGCATTTTATGCCAGGCCAGGAGGGAGGCATTGGGAAGCGGATGGGGCACAATGGGCCACAGACATCATCCTTGCCCTCTTGGAGCTTAACGTGTTTTGAGGAATGCAGACAAGTAGGGTGGACCAGCACATTACATGACACGAGGAAGTTGTGTTAAATGAATTAATTTACTTATTTGTAAATGATTAGAATGTGAGTAGGAGAACAGAGAGACCTTGTGCTGCGTGTGATAGGTAATAGTTGTGGACTTGGATAGTGTTTTAAGGAAAATTGGAAATCTGAATGGAGAGTTGCTTTTTAGGGAAAGTGTTTACTTAGAGAACTCTCAAAAGGTGGGGAAGAGGATGGAGAAGTACTAGGTTTGAGATTCTTCAGTGGTACCTCTTTTAACAACTTCTAACTTTTATAACTGCACAGATCTCTGAGTATAACGTTAAAGTGTGCAGAAAAAGGAGCTCTCCTAGGAAGCGAAATGCCAAGCTAATGGGGAAAAACCCATAGAGGCTCTCCCCAAATTCAGGATTTGCTCAGAAACCATACACCTTTTGGCAGTGCATTCTTTCCACTAGAAAGAGCACAGGATTTGAAGTTGGAGGGCCTGGGTTCAAAATCAGTGGCTATGCCATTTCTAGTGATTTTGGGCACATTACCATCATGTCCCAGAGCCTTTGTGGCCTTAGACAGAAGTCTGGCTCATACCTCATAGAGGTGTTGTGAGGATCAGCTGGTGACTGGGGTGTGAATTGCCTGGCCAAGTGCTTGGTGCCAAGACAGAGGACCCAGAGGGGAATCTTGGAGCTGCTGCAGTTTTTTCCCTGCTGATGGCCCATTTATGGGCTTAGGTCCACAGAATGCTGGGATTCCTCCAAAGAGAATTAAACCCAAAGAGAAAAAGGGAGTCATCCTAACTTCGGTGAGATTTTGATTGTTCACTGTAGACCAGAGGTAGCCACACTGCAGAAATATCTATAGGAGCACAAATGGGATGGTCTTTTAGTTGAGACTTCGGCAAGTTACATAATCCTCTGAGAATGCCATCCACCTCAGGAGGTTGATGTCAGAGAAAGACTTCTTTCCCATTCTTTAAAAGGTGGCAAACTGTAGAGGGACGTGTGGGGTCAAGAACAGGCTTGAAGCTTTATTAGGTGAGGCTTAGAGGTCCCCTCGTGGGGACCTCTCAGCCATACATGGTTGCGTAATTGTCAGAAAGTATCGTACATACAAGTAAAATGGAGAGTCTTCTCCCCTTCTCTAACAATTGAATCTTTTGAAATTTTCTAGATTGTTTTAGGGATCTAACTCTTGTATAAAGCAAGGTACCCTCTTGCATTACTCTGCATGGGATGTATGGTCAGTAAATTGTGCCAGGCTGCCTGGTAAGTGAGGAGCCCTGGCAGGTGGTCCATGTGGTGGGGAGGGGGTGCTGGTGTCTGCCTAATGCTGCCTTGTGCTCTTCTGCAGATGTCATGTGGCCTGTGCTTTGGACCGTGGTGCGTACTTATGCTCCCTATGTCACATTTCCTGTGGCCTTCGTGGTTGGGGCTGTGGGCTACCACCTGGAATGGTTCATCAGGGGAAAGGATCCCCAGCCTGTGGAGGAGGAGAAGAGCATCTCAGAGCGTCGGGAGGAGCGCAAATTGGACGAGCTGCTAGGCAAGGACCACACCCAGGTGGTGAGCCTTAAGGACAAACTTGAATTTGCCCCTAAAGCTGTCCTAAACAGAAACCGCCCGGAGAAGAATTAACAGAAGACACGGGGCCATATAGGTCCTTCTGTAGGCTGTGACTGGTCCTGCCACCATGTTGACTCAGCTCCAGAACCCACATCTGATTTGCTTTGTTGCTTATTCTGGCCCCTTTGGCACCACCCAGCCACACACAAACTGGCTGCTGTTCTGTGGTCAGGAAGACACACTAGCAGCTGAAGGGCCAGGTGAAGAGGAAGGCCCCAGAGCGGTCTGGCCTGCAGGCTGCATCTGTTGTATGCTGGCCACAACTGCCTGGGCTTCTGGACTTCTGGGCCCACTGCTGGAAGTAGTGTTACAGAATGAATATTGGCTGTCCATCTCTGCAGGGAGGCAGTTTGGCTTCAAGCAGAAGTGCATGGGATTGGGGTGTTGCCTTAGAGATACCACATGTGTAGTTCCCGTTTGCATGGGAATTCAGATATCTACCTGGCTCCCTTCATTCATTTGCCCTGTCCATTTGTGCTCGCTCTTTCTGAAACCCTGTCCTACCAGCTCAGAAAGGGGGTTCCCTTGGGAAGGAGCGCTTGTTTCTGTTTTTGGCGGCCCAGGCTCTTCATCTCCGGGCAGGTGAATTTGCCCAGATGTCACCTTCGTTCACCTCCCATCACTGTGTAGCACAAAACGTGATTAAAGTGGCATCTGAGAACCATAATAATCTAATCTGATCTCCCAGATGGTGTTTGGGGTCCTTATGCAAGTGCAGGAATTTCAGGGTAGGATAATCTGGCCCTTAACTAAGGACCCCAGGGGCCTGGGAGCCTAGTTTTATTAGAGTGGTTGCTTTGGGTCCTGGGGGCGGTGAGTTCAGGTTGTGCAGGTTCTCAGGTGCTTTTCTGTCATGTTCAGGAGGCTTATTGGACTTTTCAGAGTCTAAGAGAAGATCGGGGAGCTGAACAGCTGCTGTCAAATTTTCCAATTTCACAGACACAGACACATGTTCCTGCAAAAGTGATGTATGTGCCTTAGAGCATTTGCTAGGGATTTTTTTTAAAGGGCTCTAATACAACACCCAGAACTCTTTGTTTTTTAACATATATTTTATTGATTATGCTATTACAGTTGTTCTATTTTCCCCTGTTTATTCTCCTCCGCCCTGCATACCCTCTCCCACCCACATTCCCCCCTTTAGTGTATGTCTATGGGTCATATACATGTAAGTTCTTTGGCTTCTACATTTCCTATACTATTCTTACCCTCCCCCCGTCTATTTTCTACCTACCATCTATGCTGCTTATTCTCTGTACCTTTCCCCCATCTCTCCTTCTCCCACTCCCTTGTTGATAACCCTCCATGTGATCTCCATTTCTGTGGGTCTGTTCCTGCTCTAGTTGCGTGGTTTGTTTTTGTTTTTGTTTTAGGTGTGGTTGTTCATAACTGAGTTTGTTGTCATTTTACTGTTCATATTTTTCATCTTTTTCTTAGATAAGTCTCTTCAACATTTCATATAATAAGGGCTTGGTGGTGATGAGCTCCTTTAACTTGACCTTATCTGGGAAGCACTTTATCTGTCCTTCCATTCTAAATGAAAGCTGTGCTGGATAGAGCAATCTTGGATGTAGGTCCTTGCCTTTCATGACTTACAATACTTCTTTCCAGCCCCTTCTTGCCTGTAAGGTCTCTTTTGAGAAATCCACTGATAGTCTGATGGGCACTCCTTTGCAGGTAACCGTCTCCTTTTCTCTTGCTGCTTTTAAGATTCTCTCCTTATCTTTAATCTTGGTTAATGTAGTTGTGATGTGTCTTGGTCCAACTTCCTTGGGACTCTGAGCTTCCTTGGGACTTCCTGGAAGTCTGTTTCTTTTGCCAGATTGGGGAAGTTCTTTTTCATTATTTGTTCAAATAAGTTTTCAATTTCTTGCTCTTCCTCTTCTCCTTCTGGTACCCCTATGATTTGGATGTTGGAACGTTTATAGATGTCCTGGAAGTTCCTAAGCCTCTCCTCATTTTTTTTGTTTTTTGAATTCTTGTTTCTTCATTCTGTTCTGGTTGAATGTTTCTTTCTTCCTTCTGGTCCACTCCTTTGATTTGAGTCCTGGTTTCCTTCCCATCACTGCTGGTTCCCTGTACATTTTCCTTTATTTCACTTAGCATAGCCTTCATTTTTTCATCTAATGTGCGACCATATTCAATCAATTCTGTGAGCATCCTGATTACCAGTGTTTTGAACTGTGCATCTGATAGTTTGGCTCTCTTCATCACTTAGCTGTATTTTTTCTGGAGCTTTGATCTATTCTTTCATTTGGGCCAATTTTTTTTTTTTTTTTTTGGTCTGGTGGGTGCTCCTGTTACATAGTAAGGGGTGGAGCCTTAGGTGTTCACCAGGGTGGGGCAACCCATGTGGTTGCCTTGTGACACCGTTTGTGGGGGAGGGATTCAGAAGAGAACAGTGCTGCTTGCATCTCTCTCTGTCAGATTTCAGTCATTTCCCCTGTTACCCACAAGCAGATTGGGCCCTTTTGGTGCTGATTCCTGGATGAGTGGGCATGTGTACATTCTGGGACCCTGTGGGTCTCTCCACTGAACTCCTGTGAGGCTGGGAGTTTCTCCTGCTGCCGCCTCCACCCCCACAGGTGTTTTCAATCAGTGGTTTGAGGCTTTATTTCCCAGAGCTGGAACCCTGGGTTTCGTGCTCTGTCTTGCTCCTCAGATGTTCCTCCCATTTATCTACACTTGAATGTAGGACCGCAGAATCCACAATCCACTGCCTTGCTGGGTCTGCCAGCCACCTCCTTGCCCGCTAGTTGCAGCCTTGCCCACCCTGGTCCTCGGTCCTCTAGCCGCCTTGCTGCCAGTCCTCTCCACCCGGCTGCCTGACTCCCCCCCTCCTGTTGGTCTGGATGAATGTTTCTCCTTTAACTCCGTGGTTGTCGGACTTCCATACAGTTCGATTTTCTGTCCGTTCTGGTGTTTTTTTGTTTTTAAATGTGTTGTCCTTTTGTACGAGGAGGCACAGTGTGTTTACCTACGCCTTCATCTTGGCCCGAAGTCCCTCCAGTGCTCTTAACACAACGAAAAAGCTACCATTCTGTTAAGCTTTTAACAATTTCCCTATTGCTGGTGGACATTCGGTTATTTCTGGTTGCTCACTAGCATAAATAGTGCAATGAGTATCTTACACGGGTGTAAGGCTTTTCCTGCAATTTGGACTAAGTGGTAGGAGCAGAAAGTGGCATTTTGGGTGAAATGGTATGAGCAGTTTTAAGGGTCTCAACACGTTGTACCAAATGCCTTTCCTAAAGGGCGGTAGAAGTTCATACTAGAAGCTACCACTTAAGATTCCGCCAGTGAGATTGAAGTGGGGAGTGAGAGCAGAGGGCAGGTAGAGGCAGAAGAACCCATTGCCTCATGAAGTCAACTGACTTTAACCTAAGTGAGCTGTCAAAGGCAAGTCATGCGCATTTGATGAAGGACTAACTGCTTTTGAAAAGGGAGAGGGTGCTTGCCTGCTCGTGTTTCTGAGGCCTGATGGTATTAACAGGTGATAAAGGTAGGATTCCTGAACGTGTTGATACCAGCTGTGGAGTGAGGGGCTGGGAGGATGTGGGCCGTGGTGGGCAGAGTGGAGGAGGAGCAAGTCAGGTTGCCCAGGCCTGGTGGGAATGTTGACATGAGCTGCTGTTGCTTCTCAGGGAACAAATCTGATGGGGAGTGTCGGGGAGGAGTGTCTGCTACTGAGGCAAGGATGGGGTTTTTGGTTCTGAAAGGATGTGGCACGCTGAGCTCGGTTACAGGCTCCAGCTGGTGGGCAGGCATTGGCAGGCCAGTGCTGCCCTCCCGTGGCCGTCCTGAGCATGACCAAGACTGGGATCCCTTCATTGGGCTTAACTGGTGTGCTTACAGGGGTCAGTCATGTGGCTTAAAGGATTGTACCAGGCCAGGAACTGGAAAGCACAGGTCTGCCTAAAGGGGGCAGTCACTACTCAGCATCCTCCAACTTCTGCTGCTGATTCCAGATTTTTTCAGATATTTTTGCATGTGTTTGTGTGTGTGTATGTAATCTTCTCATTTTTAAAAGTTGACAATTCCTTTAATTTTTTTAATCCTCACCCAAGGATATGTTTTTATTATTTTGTTATTGATTTTTTGAAAGAGAGGAAGTGGGGGAGAGAGAGAGGAAAAGAAACATCAATGTGAGAAACATCGTTTGGTTGCCGCCCATACAGACCCTGACTGGGGATTGAACCCACAACCTTTTGCTGCACGGGACAGTGCTCCAACCAACTGAGCCACCCAGCCATGGCGACAGTTCATTTTTTAAAAGAAAGTTCTAAGCATGCTAGCATACCCATGTGGTTAATTTGACCTAATGGCTGACCGTTTGCAACCTCTCACCTGTCCCTCTCCTTTTAATCGATTAATTAGTTATTTGGCAACCTAACAATTTGTGGCAGACATTAGATCCCAGTAGTGGTTTCCCTTGAAACGGTTTTGAGTATACTGCACACACGTAGGGTAATGTCAGCCTTAGCAAAACATTAGTGTACAGAAAAGCTACAGAAACAAACACTAAACCATTTTTTCTGTAGACAGACTAAGACGTTCTGGGTTTTCAGATGTTTCAGAATAATCGCGCCACCGCTGGCATACCTCTTCCCAGTGCCTGACCCAGGAAGCCCTCTCCTGGGAAATCCAAGTTGCTCCCTTCTCCCAGGCTCACTTTAATTGTGCCTTCTTCTAAATAATTTCATTTCCTAGGGCTCGCCCTCACTGAATTTCTGCCTCTAGCAAGTCTATTAATATTCTCGGTGGGTTTTCTTTCCCACGGCTCTCTGGGAGCTGGGAGCTGCCGCGGGGCTGCCGTGAAGTCGCGCATGCTCTTGCATGCTAGGTGACTCTAAGTAGCAGGGTGGAAGTGGATGTGAGCAGAGGCAGGCCAGGGTTGCTGGGGTGCACCAGGGCACGAGCTGGCTTCTTCCATGCCTGCTGACTCACTTTGGAGGCAGGTGACTGTCTCTTGGGCTGGCCCAACAGCCACTTTCACTGAAACACTAGTAAGTGGATGTGCTTGGGGCTTTCTCCTTGCCCCACCTTGGGTCTCTTCCCGACCCACAGATGGTGGTGGCTTCAGAGCAGGGTCACCCTGCTTGAGCACAGCAGGAATCACTCTTGCCAGTGGCCCAGCATCTGGTGCTTTTCCATTCTCTCTGGAGCCTTTCCTGTGCCTGTGGCTGTGTTAGCACAAGTCCGCTGGGCAGCTGCCAGGACAGGCCTGCCAGGGAGCCCTTGGACTCCCGTTGGCTTCCCAGGGGCTGCCGATGGGGTGGAACTCTGTGGGATTAGGCCCCCTTGAATCTCTCGGGAGCTAGGCAGCGGCCATGAAGAAGCTCACTTTTCCACTTGGGTGTGCATCTCTAGGCGCCTGTGCAGGGGGGAACCGGGGCAATGTGGTAGACTCAAAATAAAGTGGGACCTGGAGTCTGACAGACTGGGGTTGTGAGTGCTGCCGCAACAACCCGCCAATGGACTGTGGGCAAGTCCCTTGGCCTTTCTGAACCTTGATGGCCTCATCTGTGAAGTGGGGATAAGAAGGCCTAGTCTTGCTGCGTGGTTTGAGGAGAAGGTAACATGTAAAGTTCCTCACAGAGTCCATGGCCACCAGTAGGTGCTCTGTGGGCAAGGGAGGAAGACCCCCCAAAACCAGCAACTTACTAAAAATTGTG